GGAGAAAGATGAGGCTTTCTGCTCCTGTAAAGATTTACAGCCTCGGAAACCCTGTACAGGGTCACTATGAGTCAGAACCGACTCCACGGTACATAACAACAATAGGGTTTACAAGGAGCAGCTGGTAGGTTTAAACCATGAACTTTGCAGTTCAAACTGACCTTGCAGTCCAGTGTGTTATTCTGCAGTGCCACACCATGGCTCCTTATACATAAATTTTTGAGAGGATTAACTAGAACTTGTTGTTAGGTGTCATCCTGTGAGTTCCAACTCATAATACCCCATGTACAATAGAATTTAGGTATTTTTAATCTTAATTATTTAAATAACAAAAGCAGGACTAATCACAAACTTGTTGGTGTTATTAAGGGACTAATCACAAATTTGTTGTTGTTGTTAAGTGCCATTGAGTTTCCAAGGAGCGGCTTGTAGATTTGAACTTCTGAGCTCCTTGTAGTTCAAACTGACTTTTCGGTCCAGCATGTTATCTTGCATAACCACACTAGGACTGCAATCACAAAGAGAGAGACTCAAATAGTGTATACAGTTTAAACAAGGCTGGGACCACATGACACCAGCAGTACTGAAGTTTGTTGTTGTTAAGTGCCGTCGAGTTGATTCTGACCCATAGCGACCCTGTATAAGGTTTCTTTGGAGGAGCTGGTGAGCTTGAACCACCGACCTTGCAGTTCAAATGGCTTTGCAGTCTGAACTGCATTAACCCACAGCGCCACACCAGGTAGGAGAGGCTAAGAAAAAGAGGAGCAGAGGATACAGTATAGACCCAAGATCAGAAAGTAAGCACCAGACTATCAGAATTGGGTTTAGGGCTAAGGTTTCAACCAGAGATTGAGGATCTTGAAATATTGAAAATGTGGGGAAAGGGAACTAAGCTATTAATTCTAGCTGCACTGGTATAAAATAATATATTTCATTTGCATTTCCTGTCCCTACTACAGTGAAATTTGGTAGAAAAAAATCTCTTTTAAAACATGGAATCCATTATTGGGGTGGAGGTGGGGTAGGAAAATTCAAGAAGCAATGAGATAAATGACTAATTACCTTCAAAGAATTCCAAGTTGGCCAAAAGATTAATTAGCATAATGACTAACCATACAGGTTTTGGAATCAGACAAATCAGGTTCTGATCATGACTCAGCCATTTAAAACGTACTTAACTTTCAGTGAATCATAACACCTCTGAGCTAGAATTTCCACAATAAGGCAATATGTTATCCTTCACCAGAATTAAGTTACATACACCTAGTACTTGGCATCATTTTAGCACATAGTTCAGCTTTTAATAAGTAATAGGCGTATTATTGTTATTAGGAAGAAAAGGAGCTATAACAATAACATGTCACTTACCTGACAGGAATAAACCAGGCTTAAATTAAGGAGTCCTAGTGTGGTGCTGTTAAGATAACCACTGGAATGCTGAACACAAGGTGGGAGGTTCAACCCACCAATAGCTCCTCTGAAACTCTTATAGGGTCACTGTGAGTTGGAACTGACTACATGGCACTTAACAAGAACAACAATCAATGCTAAAGATAATGAGCATCCCTGGGGCAGAAACTAGACCACATTCTCCCAAGAGGTTTATGGACTCTGGTTACTTGGTGCTGCCTCTAGTGCCAACGAAAAGTTTCCAGGTAACCACTGGCTCAGGATGACCTAAGCAGATATTCATTCCCAAGGCATCTTTTTTTTTTTTTTTTTTTAAACTAAGACAGTGCTCTCCTTCAGACAGTTTGTTTCTATTTTTCAGAATGAATATCTAAAATTTGAGTTTCCATCTAATCTTTGTAGTCAGGATTTTGCAACTTTCACAGAGACGAGAAACCCGAGTTTTCTGTATGCTGAATTCAGCTCTGGACTCTTGTTGTGGTGCTGTAGGATCAGCATTGGACTGCGAACCACATATCAGAAGTTCAAACCCACCAGCTCCTCCTTGGACATCTAGGCTCACTATGATTCAGAACAGACTTGACAGCACTTAACAACAATTCAGATTTGTACTTCTGGTGTGGTGCTAGAGGATCAACACTGGACTGCGAACCACTAAGTCAGCAGTTCAAACCAAGCAGCTGCTCCTTGGAAACCCTATACAGAGTTGGAGTTGACTCAATGGCACTTTACAACAATTCAGCTTTATCAAGACTAGATCAATCCAGCCATTGTGTTGGGGTCTGCTTTTATTAGAACTGAATGAACAAAGCTTGTGATGTCCATCTCTTCCTTTACTCTCTTCATACAACAGACATATACAAGAGATTGGAACCCAAACTGAAATGCAAATAATGAAAAATTAATACAATGACAAAATTGTTCAGTTAATTATTTAAGCATCTAAAATCTCTTTACCAAAATAAGCATGTGATTGAACGAAAGGAATAGTGGATTGGAAATCAAATTCACAGAGTTCTGATTCATTTTCTGGAATTGATTATTTAGATAATTTTGAAGAAATCACTTCTTTTCCCTGCTTCTCAAATGCTTCATATGTAATGAGAAGATTCAAGTCTATATTACCAAAGTTCTATGAGTATGTACACATACACATAGGAAGTATGAGTGGAATGTTTGTATGCATGTTATATGTTCATCTCATGATGAAGCAGATTATAAATAAGGGAACTGGAGTTGAGATGGGTAAGAAACATATTCATGTTCTATACTGACATCATCTGGTTCTGACTTAGCAAATATCCATATTCTTATCCATGGCAATAAAGCAGTGGTTCTCAAATTGTGGTCCCAGGGTACCAATATCACCATAACCTGGGGACTTGTTAAAAAATGTTAAAAATGCAAATCTTTAGGCCCTGCCCAGACCTACAGAGCATCTGAAATTCTGGAGGTGGGGCCCAGCAATCTGTGTTGTAACCTCTCCTCCAAATGATTGTAATGTACATTAGAATGTGAGAACCACTCACTCACCCATTCACAGGGTAGAAATATAGGCTAGAGTCACAGGCAAAGTAGCAAGTCAGTAATTAAAGGTGAAAAAGCAGAGTTTTCTACAGAGAGATTGAGT